TTCATTAAGGGTATTATAGACATTTTGACAAGAATGAATAGTGATAGGCCATTTAGAAAAATCCCCCAAGCGGAGTGAAGAGACGTTCACCCTTTTCTATATATGGAAAATAACAGAGAAGGTCCTCGATTTATTTGTATTTTGGTCCTTAACCTTTGAGATAGAGCATTTTAATCTCTAATCTTTCACTTATATTTTACTTGCACTTTTCGTAGGATGATTTCCTTTGAGTAATGTTATTTATGAGTTTAGATGATCATAGATCCATACAATGAATTTTCAATACATTTTTATGCATTGGATAGCATTGCACTTCCTCAATTGTCACATAGAGCGATGATCATCTAAACTTTAAATGAATTGCATTATTATTCTCCTCTCTAAGTTATTTTTATGATGGTATACCATTCACACATGTTTAACGTTTTTGAACTTAGAAGCATCGGTCCCTTGATGGAAATAGTCTATTTGCTAGAAAAAGCAAGAAGTCTGGATGACCCTTCTAGTCCTGCCCTATCAAAAGAAGTTGGACGAATATTAAAATATCTTCATTTACTAGTTTTACTTATTTTTAAATACAATTTAGATTTAACAGCATAAAAAATTAGGAATAGGTTCGATATGAGGACCATGTTCCTCCTCCATGTCCTCGTTCCCGTTCCCATCCCATCCTTGCCTCATTCCCCACAAGATATTGCATTTTCATTAGAATATGTTGAAACAAAAGTCGGGAAATGGTAGTATCAAAAATAATAACATAGACACAAGATTTACTTCAAAATTCAAGACCCCCGAAAAAAATCGAGGGCAGAATCGGAGAATTTACTGATATAAAATAATGGAGAATTATAAAAATTGTGTTGGGTGACTTTTCCAAAGATTTATTCGTTGTGTATATAATACAAAGAACCTAACCCAAAGTAGGGTCCTAGTACAATATGCATCACCAATATCATAATGTTTGAGATTGAATAGGAAAGAAAAAGCTGCCAAATTCGTGAAACCCAATTGCACCATATAACACAATCACTAGAGCGGTGCCCTCACAGCTAGTGAGCAGTGATGTTATTGACTTTTTTGCTTGAGCAGCCAGTGAACGATCTTCAACGCGAATGTTCTCCCTGCTTGTACATCTTTGACTGCTTCAAAACTACTTCAACTAAAAACTCCCAATTGAACCCTCAAATAGAATTCGGATCACAATCGAACTTTAACCAAATACATCTTTTCATCATAGGTGGTGGTATTTCTGCATTAATGAATTATAAAGCAATGCATCAAATTACTATAAGTTGAATTTTATTTGAACTATTAAAATTTAAAAAATAAAAATATTGATTTAGGCATAAACATTAGTAAAGAGCGATTATGTTGCATAAAATGTATATTAATTGAGTAATGCTAAACATATTGCTAGAATCATCAACTACTTTTCACTAATTGGCACGTCTTGTCACTTTCATCCAAATATTATATTGAAGGGCATAAAAAGACTTTTTGCCCCTCGCATTTTAATAATAATAATAATAATAATAATAATAATAATAATAATAATAATAATAATGTGCAATTAGATATTTGCCTCTTATTTTAAAGCACACTAAACAAATTTTTGGATGAGAAATGTTGTAAAAAACATGTACTAATTAATGAAATATTGAAGGTTAAGAAAGTGTTAAAATTGGGGATCTGAGTGTGACATTATGTGAAGGCCAAGAACCTGTGATGCAATTAAAATGGGGTATATTTATATCAAAAAAGTAATTATATTAACATACTATTCCTATTACAGAGAAATTATTAATTATTGTGAAAGTCCTCAAAATTTGCTCATTGTTGCACTTGTACCTCAATTTTTTTAGTTCAATCTCATTCTTATCTTTCAATTAATTAGTAAATCTTGTTTCTAAAGGTTTCAGATCTAATATTTTATTAACGTACTTTGAAATGAGAGACAAATATTCCATTTTTATTCTTTATTTTGATTATTTTAAAATATGAAGGAAAAGTAAGTCTTCCAACGTCCCAACTTATTTGGAAGTAAACTGCTATCATAGATTAACTATTAATTAATAAAAAGTTGATGACATAAATAAAAATAAAATAAAATGAGCAAAGGTTGATTGCCTTTGTTATAGTGCAGTTATTATTATTATTAAGGACTGATTACCCGAATGCCAAACTATGGATATTGGAGAAATATTTTTGAACAATTATACAATTCTTTTTTTTTTTTTTTTTTTGGGAACTTTGTGAAATCGTCTTTCAATTAATTAATAGTAAAGATTGTTTAAAGGGAAAAATTCATAAATAAGAGATTAACTATCACCTATTTCAAAATTAAGATTAAAAGTTTCAAATTTCAAAAATTATATATTTATTACAATTTATTTATAATTTAATTAACTGGTTATATATTTTATTAATTAAATATATTAAAGTTACAAATTTATACAATTTGATCACAAATTCACAAATTTAGTTAGTCACATGTTATTTGTTGGTAACTAATCAAAATTTTTATATCTCACAAATTATTTCACGATTACAATTCAAAAATTTTATAAGTCACAATTTGTTCATCGATCACAAATCACGAACATTATAAATCACAACTTATTAGACAGCCACAAATTATCAAAAGTATCGGTTACAAATTAACAATTTTTTAGGTCACACATTATTTCTTGATCAAAATTCATCTCTTTTATTGGTCACATATTATTTATTGGTCACAGATTAACCAATTTAATGGTTACAGTCAACCAAATAATTTATGACTACCATCAATGCTTGTGACCACTACCTCACCACTGTCCCCAACAGTACCATTATCGCCGTCAAGGCCAAAACCACCATTACCTACAACAAATCGAACACATTGAAAAAAAAAAACACAAACAAATTGTCGCGCCAAATTCACAACGACCTCACCACCACAACCACAGACAAACCACCATTTTCAATTACAAACCACCAACCACCAACACATCCATGCCAGATTCACCACCACCACTACTACCTCCATCAACAAAAGCCACCCCACCACCAGATCCACCATCGATTTAACACTACCGCACCCAAATAATTGGTCACAAGCTGCCTCCAGAACCACTGCCTTGCCACCACAGCACCCGTAAAACCACCATTCACTAGGGATGTCAACGAGTCGAATCGAGTCGGCTCGTGAGCCAAAATTCTAGGCTCGGGCTCGGGTAAAATATTCGAGCTTTTTTCCGAGCCCGAGTTGAGCCGAGCAAAAGCTCGACAAAAAAAAATTATGCTCAACCCGAGCTTTTAGCTCGGGCCTTTCTGAGCCAAGCCGAGTCGGTTCAGATTTCGTTTGTTTTGGATTTTATTATTATTATTAAATAAAATGGCAGCAGGTTGTTGCCATGTTTGGCAGCAACCCGCTGCCCTATTTTTAGTAGCACCAGCTGCCTTTTTTATTTTTTTATTTTTTTTAATATATGCTCTGAGCTGGCAAGCCACGTAGGCCGGCTCGAGCTTTGCCTAGCACTTAAAAATGGGACTCGGCTCGAGATTTTTCCGAGTCGAGCCACGGGCGGCCCGAACCGACAAGCCCGATTGTCATCCCTACCATTCACACACCACACAACCGCCACCACTGCAGCCACCTCCTCTATTTCAATCTACACAACACTACAAACCACCACACTTACCAAAAAAATCTACAAATTCACCCCACCATCGCACACTAATACTGCCTGCATTACCACTGGCAAAAACAACGTCATGAGACAAAAGCAGGAGCCTGGAAACCATCATTGTCAGTTGCCACACCACAAAAGCAACAAGTGGTGTTGTAATCTCTATGTAAAAGCTAGGCAAATGGCGTCCAGAGCGTGAGGGGTTGTTGCCCATCGTGTGGCGCTATGTCAGCGCTGCGCCGACAGCGATTGTGTGAGCGTAGCACTGACAGCGTCATGTGTGCACAGCCGCCGACAGAAGTAGGATATAGAGAGAGAAATTGATTAAGATTTGGGATGAAAATTGTATATTTAATATTTAAATATAAAATATCCGATTTGTGAAATGTGAAACTTCCCACCTAATTTTTAGAACACGAATCTGTAAAAGTATGCTGGGGTGTAATTTACTCTGGTTTAAAATGGGACACTTTTTATGGGCTTTAATCTTTGTTTGTTTACTTTTTTTTATTATTTTTTTAATTGTCAAATTGAAGTGGTGCTCCCATCTCACTCATAAAATTAGATTGAAAAGTATAAAGGTAATTTTTCTCTACATTTGACATAAAATTTACAAGGAAATCTGTATTCAGTTTTGGAAGAAAAAAAGGATAATATTATCAATGCAGAAATTTTTATGTAACTCTATTTAAATTGTTTCTGTATAATCAACATCTTTAAATTTAAACATCCAACTCATTGTTAGTTTGGCACAACTTATTTAATTTTTTTATAACTTAATTTCAATCATACATTCTCCCAATAAAATAATTTTATTTTTCAAAAATCTCTCCCAAACAAACTATGCCTCTATTTGGTTCGGATAAAAATAAGAGTTTAATGAATTTTGATAAAAATTGGTGAAATATAAAATTAAAAATTTGATGAAAGTGTGAATTTAATGAAATGTTTAGTTAAAAATTTCAAAAAAAATAGAGCAAAGGACTTACTCACAAATGAAATGAAAACAACTCTCTCTCTCTCACACACACGCACACACATTCCCCCCCCCCGCCCCTCTTTAGATGCAGTGATATCAGTTGACTTTAATTGATTTGAAATTTTAATTGTCATCTTATATTCCCTCCATCCTCATAAAAATAGACTTATTTTTTGATTGATTCAAGTTATAACTCACTTTCCTAACTTTTTTATATACCCCAATTTAACGTATCTTGTTATCAACAAATATAAACTACTCTTATTTATATCATTATTTAATCTAAAGGGGGGTGTCTGTGTGTATATATATTATACGAACACGGAGCTAAATTAGTGAGGCCATTTTCCTTTCAATAATGGCACGCACATCCTATATAACCAATTCATGCATACATAACGTGTGTAACAATACACAAGGGCAAGCATATAAAGTCAGGGAACAGCCCAAAACAGAAATATTAGAAACTCGTCCTACAAAGTACAAAGTCCAAATGGGCACTCGAAGGATCTTCACATGATATCCAATCTAGTTAAATCATTGGTAGTACATAAACTGCTGAGCAGCAGCAACATTCTGGAAACCACTATCATAGATGGCTTGGCTAGTACCAGCACCCATTCCCAAAGATGCTTGCTTCAAAGGATGTATGCCACCCATCTTGCTCATTGCAAGTTGCCGTTCATAAGCCAGAAGGTCTGTCGCTTGAAGGCCCGGAAAAGGTGCAGGTGCAGGTGGTGGGAGAGGGTTTGAGCTTGTTCCAGCTGGAGTTGGCTTGTTTCCCCATGAACACTGCAGGCATTTGAAAAACATTGATGAGTTCGAGCTAAAACTATAAACGAACATTCCAAGCCTTATTCCCTAAGTCAGATTGGCTAAATGAATATTTTTTCTTCTCAAAAATCAGATTTTTTTCCTTGTCAACAATAGCTTTTGACAAGGACAGCTATCTGGCAAAACATCCTTTTCCAGCTGAATATCTATTCCCCTGCCTTATAAGCAAGCAACTATGAGGGCATTACCTTGATTTGTTTGCCAAAGAAAAATGATTGATTATTTCCCAGTGAAATGGCCAATGCGGCCTCTGCATGGGTACTATATCTTACAAAACCAAATCCTTTGTCACGCTGAACTCGAACTTCCTTGATTGCTCCAGCACCAAGGGAATGGAAGTGGCGATGGAGATCAACCTGGGTAACCTGGTAAAGCAAATGCAATGGAAAATGCATGAAGAAGAATATTAGTTTTTGGGTGGGGTCATGGTTGAGGATTAAGAAGCTTCGTGATCAAACATGTCTATGTAGAGTAAATAGGGATAATGCGTGAAATCCTAGCAATAATCTCCCCAAAGCCCTCATAATTTATCAAATATTCCAAGGGTTTACCTTTAGCAACTTGAAAAAGAAAAAATTCTCTGTAAATAAAATCCTTGGAAGGAATAAACAAGTCATGAGAGTGAGACATCACATGGAATCGAAAGTTTCTTACCTCTGGAGCAAGATTACCAACATACACTGTGGTGTATTGAGGGTTATTATCGGGTATATCACTATTTGTAGCCTCTTTAACATCTTCTGTAAAAAGCAAAAGCCAACAAATATGATTATTTTTCTCGTTGGGCATCAACTAGTAAAAAAATAATTATCTGTAAGTTAATCACAAAATCACGTCTGAAGCATAATTCTCAGCGAGAAATGGAACAAAAGAAATTACAATCACTTAAATCCAGTTTTTCTTAAATAAATTCATATGGCAAGGCCTCAAATTACTTAGTTTCAATCAATGACTACCATTTAGTATTTTTCTACGAGACCATCTTTTATATGTTTCCCATAATTCTTGCAGTCAATTTTTCTTGCTCACCCAAGGTGCCATTCATTAGTTCCACTACACTTTTGGCATCCGAATCCTGCTTGTCATCACTGGTACCAGCACCTTTTGTGGCCCAATTGCAACGTATCTGCCTGCTGCCAAGCCATTTCCCTGAGTGGTAGTCAGAGAGAATATTAGACAGTAAATTACCTATTCTTTTTGTTTGAGATAAGTAATATGATCCGGGCAAGAATTTATTCGTACAAGAAACATAAGTTTGTAGAATAATTCTTTGACATCGTATTCATTTCTTTAGAATATAAATACAAGATCATTTTCACATTTTCTCCTACAACAAAGTAGCATAATTGGCATCATTTCCTCACTATCCCCTACAATAACTAAAGTAAAAGAAGAAATAACAACTCACAACTGCTTATATTGGACTAAATCAAAATTAAATAAAACAAAAAAATTACAAATAAAATAAATCATAGAAGACAGTGAAGTTATGGAGCAAATTAGTACTCTTGGTTTTAGGTGAAAGTGTATTTCATACATAAACTGTCAATGAATACTTATGAATAAAATATTTTACGAACATACTGTTTGTTCAGGGAGGCTATTGCTTCCTCGAAAACCAATATGGGAGGTCCAGGTTTCCTCCAATTAACCTATCCATTTCGGTAATCATTCCCTATTTTGATTTAAATTAATTAGGAATAAACCGTGAACACAGCATTTGTACCCGTGCCAGCATATACGAATTGCAGGAACGTGTAGCGCTCGGAAAAGACAGTGAAAACTATGACTAACAGTCAAAGAGAACTTCAGTCCAAGATGAACGAGTTTTTTGAGCTGTTAGATATTAAGTAGGTATTTTTATCGTTATCATGCGATAAAGATACTAAATGTCGATCTGAAAATTTTAAGGTCTCGAAGCATTCACAATAAAGTAGCAGAATAGTGATTCGGCTTTCTACAGTGCAAAGACAAAGATCCATTCCTTGTGACGTTGAGCATGTAAGAAATCAAACATCGGCTACCACCAAAAGTTTTGAAGATGGAAAACTATTGCTAATCTAGGATGAGACTTGTAACAACAATATTCTTCATTACTGCAACCAACTGATGTGCAAAAAGGATAGAAAAATGTCGGTTAAAATGTTTTTGTAGCCTAGGAAATGGGCATCCATATTCAGTGGTCTTCAAGAAGCATTAAGTGCTCAAAAATTGGAGAGAATAAAAAATAGAATAACTAATTTCAAGAAGAAGGCTAAACATGGACATAGACAAAATCAAGACATATCATCCATCTACCAAGTGCCACAATAAAAAGGAAGAATGAGGTTGAACTAATGAAGCGTCTACAACAAAGATTTAACATATTTTTACATTTGATCATAAATTGAAAACGAAGAAAAGTACAATTGTTCTCAAAATTCACCCTAGAGGACAAGGGTGTCATTAAGGGGTAGGAATGTCATGATTTTTATTTTTCCATTTCATTTTACATATATATTATAAAATTTTGAGTTAGTAGTGGATGGTTATTTGTAATTGTAAATTGTAGTTCTTGTAGGAGACAATGGGGATATCGAGCAAATTAGTGCTCGTTAGTTTTGCATTATTTTGTATTTAAGCTTTAAGCCTACGAATGAACTATTTTGCAAAAGTATTGTTTGTTTTGGGAAATTATTGGTTCCCCAAAAACCAATACTTTGGCTGTCCAAGTTTTCTCAAATTAAAATATCCATTTCACTAACCATTTTCTAATTTATTTTAAATTCGTTATGAACACACAGACTTAGTAACGTAATGCTATAGTATTTCCATGTCATTATGCTAAAAAAAAAAAATATTATGCAACGACAACTTATGAAGAGAGATTCATGAGAATGTTCTCACCAGTTAAATCATTTATTGCACTTTGCGCATCCTGAGCAGAAAATTAAAAAAATTGAATTTGAGTAGAAGGAAGTCAAGAGTATGCGAAACAAAGTCAAATAAAAAGCAAGGGAACATACCTGCTGACTTCTGAATGAGACAAATCCAAACCCCCTGGAACGACCAGTCTTTTGATCCCACATAACCCTAGCGTCACTGCAAACAAACAAGACAATAATCATTTTTATAAAACAAACAAAACAAATCATTAATCAGACAGCAACGCTGAACTATATTTTAACCAAAAACTTCAATGCAAGGGGAAAGACCAAGTTTGAACTGACTTTTTACCACTGTATGGAAGTTAAATCGAGAAAGAGATTGTGGACAAGGAAAGAGGAAGAGAGAGAGAGAGAGGTGCTTACGAACAACTCGGGTAAACAGAAAAGCATGCATACAACATGGCATCAGTAACTTCAGGGCTAAGATCACCAACAAACAAGTTGTAGTGGCCTGCATAAAAGGTATAAAATAATAACACGCCCAAAATCACAAGACATGACTTTGTTATATGCTAAGCAACTAAGAAACACAGTAAAAAGAAATTATGAGGGACCTACCTGATGTGTCCTCTTTCTGACCACTGGTGTATGCCCAATTGACTTTAATAGGCTGCCCGAACCTGGAAATCACAGAATAAAGATAATAATCTATATGACATCAGAAATTAAATCTACAATAAAAGGGGCAATATGTAGAGCTTCCAATTATCCATGAGAAAAGGGAGAAGGCTTCCTACTTACAGATGCCTTCCATTAAGAGTAAAAATAGCAAGGCTGGCTGATCTACGGTCAAAGTAATGAATAAACCCATAGGATGACTGCACAGAGCACAAAAAGAACATAAAACAACAATATCTCAAGGTGTAAAAATCCATATCAGCTCATGGTCACGTAATCATGGGAAACAAGATGCATGTGAACAATACCTTTTCTTTTCTAATAAGCTTGCAGCCTTCCACAGGACCAGTACTTGCAAAAACCTCTTGAAGAAGTGGTTCAGTCACCTGTGTGTGAATGTTCCCAACATATCTGCATTTCTCAAACATAAAAACCCTAGGAGGTTAAAAAAAATTAAAACAAAGAAAAATGGATGCATCTGTAAGAATCTCCTCATGATATTACAATATGAGATGATAATGGCTAAGAAAGCACCTTGGAAATTCAAACGTAAGAATAATGACAAGAAAATCCATACAAGAAAATAGAGAAGATCTATAAAGACATAAACAATTTACTTAGATCAGGTTTAGGCTTAGTAAGGTAAGTAGGTCACAAAAGCATGCAGCAGAACATTAATGGGGGTGGGGGTGGATGGCTTTAAACATATTTGCATGCGTGCGTGTGCGTGTGTGTGTGTTTTTTTTTTTTGGAGACATTGCACTGATATGCAAATGACGCAAGCACATAACAAAGATAAAGAACAAAAAATAAAATGAGAAACATGTGACAACACTCACACACTGCGGCATGTATTTGGATCAAACCCCAGAGGCAGATTTCCAGTTGGGATTGGCTCAATCTGCAAAATAAAAGGGTAAAGCAGGAAAAAGTAATATAAATATACAGAAAAGGGCTTCCCGATTTATCGGCTGATCACAATCACCATCACACCCAAGGGGAAAAAACAGTAAAAGTAAAAACACCGAAAAAACAAGCCATCACTGATAGAACATCACAAATGGCAAGAAGAGAAGATTTCAAATGCAACAGCAATATCAAACTGAAGAATCGTGTAAATCTGCAAGTTTGTCCAGTTTCAAAAAAAAAATCCTGTAACTAAACAGATCATGAAATCTTTGAAAAAACCATAGGCAATAAACCACATATTACAGAATATAACCCTTTCAAACTTGTTTTTCTTAAGTCTCCAATCAGGCAACAAAAAGTTAGTTTGTAATAAGAAAGTTCACAAATCTCAGAGTACAGTATAACCTTCATCCTCAATAACAGCCAAAGTGGGCAATTCTCTAATTCCTGTTCTCTATTTACAAACTTTTAAAAGAAAATACTCCTGACATAAGACTGCCTGACACAAATGATGTCAGGAAAAACTTGTAAAAGCCACAGAAGTCAATTCAGTGATTCATAATGGTTTTCAAAATAAAATATAAGGCTGATACTAGGAAAGTTAAAATAGTTATTAAAAAATTGGAAGCAAAACCTTAAATTGCAGACCATTGGCTCAAGAGTGAAAAATAAAAACAGACGTGTAGCTATTCATAAATACAAAACTATAGTACATTTAATAAAAAATGAAATCTAAACAGAATCAACGAGAAGTTCCTTCTCATATCATGCAAAAACCTTAAAAGTATCTGTGAATTGCCTAAACTAGTCACTTCGTTCAAAAAATTATCCACCAGAACGGAAAGAAAAATGGTTTAAGCACAAGCAAACCTTAAAAAGTGATTAAAATGAGAGCAATTTCAAACGATCTTCGAGTACGAAAGATTGTTGAAATTGCGGGAATGGGGAAATACTAATAATAATATCCCAGATGTCAACATCTAAAATACGCAAAATAATAATAATAACACAATAAGCAACAATAATAGGTTGAAAAAAAAAAGAAAAAGGAAATGAAACCTGAGGAGGTGGAGCTAAGAGGCCAGGGTGGTAAAGAGACTGTTGTTGAAGTAGAGCCTGCTGCATCAAGGCCTGGTGTTGCTGTTGCTTCAGCCTCTGGTTATGCATGTTCGTTTATTAGGATTATAAATTCCAAAAACCCGATTCAATTGATTGATCGGAGAAAATTTCTAGGGTTTGTAAAACGGGCAGGGTTCACAGAGAGGGAAAAAAAGAGGAAAAGACCAAAAAAAAAAAAAAAAAAAACAAAAAAAAAAAAAAAAAAAAAAAAAAAAAAAAAAAAAGAAAGAAAGAAAGAAAGAAAGAAATGCCTCAGTCCTCACCAAGAGTGGACAAATTAAAATGGAACCTACCTCATCAGCCTTTTATAGCAAAATATTACGAGTCTCGTAATTATATTAACACCTGTGCATAATATTTTAATTGCAATAAAAATTTTCAATCAATATTCACTTCATTTTTTCTAAAATTCATTTTTAATTACATATTCTTTCATAAAAATAATATTAAACATAAATTTAAAATTTTCCTCTATCTTTTAATCACACATTTTTCAAAAAAATCACTATTTCAAAATACATTTTCTTCTGAAATTACATTTAATCAAAACCCATACAAGGACTAATGTGTCAATTCTTCTCTTCACATTTTTATCTTTAAACACCTTCAATTAACTAATAAATTCTTTTTCAATGTTAATTTTCGTTCAAATAATCGTTAGCATATTTTGAGACATCTTTTAGCAAGTTTCAAGTTATACGCCCCCGTTTGAGCCCCATTATTTTTCATTACATTAAATTAAATTTTTCTCTCTCCCACTTTTAACTACACAATCTGGACAAATTAAAATGGAACCTACCTCATCAGCCTTTTATAGCAAAATATTACGAGTCTCGTAATTATATTAACACCTGTGCATAATATTTTAATTGCAATAAAAATTTTCAATCTATATTCGCTCCATTTTTTCTAAAATTCATTTTCAATTACATATTCTTCCGTAAAATAATATTAAACGTAAATTTAAAATTTTCCTCTATCTTTTAATCACACATTTTTCAAAAAAATCATTATTCCAAAATACATTTTCTTCTGAAATTACATTTAATCAAAACCCATACAAGGACTAATGTGTCAATTCTTCTCTTCACATTTTTATCTTTAAACACCTTCAATTAACTAATAAATTCTTTTTCAATGTTAATTTTCGTTCAAATAATCGTTAGCATATTTTGAGACATATTTAGCAAGTTTCAAGTTATACGCCCCCGTTTGAGCCCCATTATTTTTCATTACATTAAATTAAATTTTTCTCTCTCCCACTTTTAACTACACAATTTTCAATAAAATAATATTACACGTAAATCAAAAATTTTTCAACCACTCATTTTTCAAAAAAACACTATTCATCTCATTATAATCTACAAATAATAGGACTCAAATAGGGGTGTAATTTGAGGCTCGAATTATTGTAATTTGAGCGATTTAATAATTTAAAGTTCCCTTTATTTAACACTTCATAAATTTAATTCTCTAGTCTTGCCACCTTTACAAGGGCCTTATTTGGTAGGGAGAAAGAAGTTTAGAAAATATCCAAAAAAAAAAAAAAAAAAACTTTTTCGTATCATTTTTTGTCAAAAAAAAAAACACACACACACACAAGATAATTTTATGTACATAAGAGTGTCCATACACTCACACGAGTGTGGTAAAATTATATACACCAAGCTTTATCCTAAAAGATATTTCAACTTCACCAGCGAACTGTAAAATTCAACACAAATATCGCTAACGGTATACCAAAGTAATTGCAAAAACTCAAGAATAAAGTCAATGTGGAGGTACTTGTTAAAACTGGTACAACAATGATCTACACTTGATTTGCCATATATGCTCCACCACTTCTATCAGTCTATGCATCAGATGACAAGAAGATAAGCACAAATCATATTCAAAACTAGATCTACTAATTATATATATTTCTATCTTGTAGAACTAATTTTGAAAAGCGACACAAGTAAAATGACATTCGAGCAAGTGATATTTCCAGACGTCAAACACTAAAGTACACATCAATCCATATCGAGGAAATCCATCCGCTTTTTCATTGTACCCTTGAGATCTGAAGCCACCTCTTCTGCTTTCTGTGCCTGATAAGAACAGAAAAAGACGCGGCTAAAACAGCTGAAGTGCATGATTAAATAAACATAAAAAGGGAAAGCAAACATATGTGGAATTTTTCTCGAAGAAAAGAAATATGCAAGATCACAGTATATCCGTTTTTTTTCCCTTCCAAGATTGAATATCGCGTACTGTGGCTTAGAGGTTAGTCTCTTTATTATCTTATTATTCCGCCTTTTGACAACAGAACACTGACAAGGATCGTTTACTTAATTCACTTTTGGCAACTACAAGAAAAAAGGGGGTGAGAAGAATTGAGCGTAAAAGGCATCATTAAAGGCTCCAATATATTCAACCGATGAAACGATAAACAACCAGCCTCAAACCATTAAACAGCGAGTCATAGGAAGGCTCTTTATAATAACATCTGAAGTAAGAATGGTGAAACTCCACATCCCCACCAAAAGAAGGTGTAGTTGAACACAGAAGCATTTGCACAAGCCACGGAGTCATTTCCATTGATATACGCACTAACAAAACATCATGAAATCTTACCCTTTTTATCTCATCTACTGAAACACGAGTCATATGTGGGGGAAGTTCTTCTTTCTCCAAATCCTAATTAATCACATCTGATTATCAAAATTACACACAAGAAAGCAGAATACTAATAAGCCCCGGTTTGGCTTTGCTAAAAATCAGATTTTTTATAGATTTCGATAAAAGTTGATGAAATGTGTAGTTTAAAAGTTGATAAAAGGTGTAGCTTCTATGAAATGTGTGGTTGGAATGAGTTCGATGAAAAATGAGTTTAGAAATAGGGGCCAAACAGAGAATAAAAGTTACTGAAAAAGTAAAACAACACATACTAGCTCGCCGATCAACACTACATTTTCCCCACGGATTATGTATAGACCTAATGGGATGTCACAGTAAAGATCACCAACAATTATGCGCTCACATGCACCTTCTAGAACAGCATTGGCTACAAATTAGATGATCAAAGTTCAGTTAAACGCTCGATAAAAAATAACATAAGGGAATCAAATGACTGATGTCAATAAACGTGAAAATCAATACCAAATTGGTCAAAAGACCGGAGAGTCCCAAATAATTTCCGTCCATCTCGCAGCAATGCAAGGAGTTTCTCTGGGGAATATCAAGCATAAGATAGAAAATGTCGCACCTCCCAATCTAAGCCAATGTAAATTTTAACCGTATTCGCACATAATAAATCTTTAAATTTTTCCAATGAACAGACATATATTTGCCTCAGTCAAATTCCATGCAAAAAAATTTGTTCTTCACAAGGCTTCTAGTTATAACTTATATGCATCAATTTCACATCATAAACATGATTCTAATGATAAGGCCATCACACTGATATGAAAATTGGACAGAGTTGGATTTGACTTTATTGTTTACTTTACTCTTACAGGTTTCATATTCAAAAACAACATAGGATAATATCTAACCAAAACTCTTGCAAACATATCAAAGAAAAAACAGAATACCTCCTCCAAAGATAAGACACAAAAAACAACTATTTCAGAAAATCCACACATCAGCAGTCATTTACTCACATGAATACAAAGCCACGCTGGCATCAAGAATATATCTCCGAACGGAACACGAAAAAACCTCCGATAGAAGTAGTGGTAGTTATTCGTGTTAATCTAAACGAGCAGGCAAGCTATATGAAGGTTGGTAGCTGCTATAATCTTCCTGGTGTAAAGCTTATCAACCAGCACTGATAATGGAAGTAGCAACTGCCAATACACCTTTGTGGCTAGGCAAATTCAGTACCGGAGGGTGGCCACCAAGCCTCACCCGAAATAAAAAAGAATTGACCTAGAGCTGCATTTTTGGTGTCAACCAGGCTGCCTCGCCTTGCTTTCAAGAACATATAGTGGCTGCCTATTTCGTTGGGTAACAAAAATACCCTTTTAGTATAACCTTAGTGAATAAAGCTTCAGGGACGGTTACTATAAACGGTAAGGACGGTTACTATAAATGTTAGAGATGGTTACAATGCCCTCTATTAACTCCAGAAATTTAAAGGAATGTGTGTCATGGCTCACTTTACTCACCATAACCAAAGCATTCTAGAATATTCCATAGCCTACTCAATAAATTGAGAACATGGAGGGAGGAAAAACAAGTTGAGAGTTGTTGCAAAACAGAATTTCCCCCCTTTCTCTCATTGGTTTCTCTGTTCTTCTTCTCTCCACTTCTATGAATCTATTTCTCTCTCTTTTTCAACTCCTCTAAATCTGAATCTCTTCTAAACTCTCTGATCCTGCCCCTTCTTTCTCTGTTTTCTATTTATCTTTGTTAGTGCAACCTTCAGCTCAATTAATAGAATTACAGCACTGAGAATTTCCTTTCACAAGCTCATTATATTATACTTACCATTTTTTCTTACTCAACCAGTGAGGCTAGATAATGCATAAAAAAGCAACAATTTTTTTATGTTTATGTTGATCCATCTCTATTAATCTGATTTTATTTGTTAGTCAATAATTCTTGTAACATAAAATTATTTGGTGATTTTAGTTGTAATCTAAGTGGGTCAAAACTCGGACAAATTTTTTTACAAAAAATTCAATTTGGACTAAAAATCCAAACCGAACTGAACCAAATCGATTTAAGAGCTAGAGTGGGTTGGTTTGGGTTGAATTTTGCCCAAACCAACTAATTTGGTTTTGGTTTCGGTTTCGGACTCCAAACTAAACCGCGCCCAGGCCTAACCGTCAGCAGAGGAGGAGAGGCGGAGGCCGCGGAAAGAATATCAACCCAAAATTGCATTAAAACTTAAAGAAAAAGATTCCACCGAGAACATCAAGAACCAATGACACAGTTTATCACAAATGAAAATATCACCCTAAAACGACGAAAATTCCGATTTCAATTATTAAGAAATACCCAAACGCACATTAGATTTATCGTTCCAAATTTAAAATATAAAGAAAATCCGACAAAAAAAAAAAAAATCAAGATAAACTTACTGTCAAGATAGTTGGCAAGAGAAGTAGAGAGGTAAATATCTTCTGGGCCTGCCCAAGACATTGATGAGTTCACAAAAAGACTTCAACTTTAACGTTATCCCACAAAAAACACCTAACACAAACAATCTCAACTAAACAGAATTGCATTGGCAGCTCAGATATGCGCTCTTTTGATTCCCCACCCCATTTCACGGGAAAAAAATTAAAAATTTTGAGAAGTCTCGATCTAATATGCTAAAATCCTAATCAAGAAAATGGAATCCTGGAAGTTGGGGATTTCGTGTTGACTTTTTGTTGAAGTTCAGATCTGGAAAAATCTGAGGTACAGTCGGAGGCACAAACGCATGACGAAATTTTAAGTTCTTGAATGAGAGTGATTCAAGTAAAGTAGTGTTTCATAGCCATTGAAATTCATGTAAAATGGAATTTTTATTTTATCTTTCATTTTAACCTTATTTGATAATTTTATTTTATTTTTACCTAAAATTGAATTTTCATCTTTGGGGCCACATAAGTCATTTTTCATGAATTCAAGAAATGGTGAGAATTGCAATTTTCGATTACTTTTTTTTTTATTTGATGGAAATAAATTTTGAGAATTATTGTAAAAAAATATTTTCCTTTAACTGATAATTTTCATGTAAAATAAAGTCAAACGAACATTAAAAGATAGATAATTTTTTTGATTTTTTTTGTTTTGGCAATGAGAACAAATTTCATCTCTAATACCAGTAAATTATATCCCTTTAATTGACAATTTTCATGTAAAATAAAGTCAAACGAACACCAAAAAACACTTTTATTTCATGAAAAATTATACCAACCAAACACAATAATTTACCATTCCCAGAAAAATAATTTTTAGGCAATTCAATTCCCTAAAATTCGTTTTCTAGGTAATTCAATTTCATATTTGCAATCAAACGGACCCTAATATTTTTCTCATAATACACTCCGGGGGAGAAATTCTCAGTTGACCGTTGAAGTATTGAGTTTATTACACTGAAGCCACATTTTTTTTTTTTTCTCGAAATAGAAGGCCAATTTTATATATATATAGTTACAGTAGATTAATCATTCACACAGAAAAGAGTGCAACTAATCTACGCACTAACAGAATGATAAAGATAAAGAGTTATTTATTTAGGTTTTATTCTTCTTTTCTTTGCAAGGTGACAATCTTTTTCTTTAAGATTTATAGTCCTCCACTTGAGACCGCGTTCTGTAAAATTATATCCTAGCGTTGTCAAATTTTTAATGTAGAAATTAATCTCGTTCAATTCAGTAATCTAAATATTTACTTAGAACAACTTTGGTTTGTGTGAATGAAATTAATAATTCGACATGTTTAGCTAAGCCTTATAAATGACGATTTTCAAAATTGTGCATGAAGTAAGATGGTAAGCGCATTTGGTACGATTAGGCCCAAGAAACTCAACCACCCATATCATTTGGTATTAAGTTAAATACATCAACGGTCCAAATTTTATACTTAGTGTCACTAGGATCATTCAATTTAATTTTATTTCACCATGACCCCTCAATTTTATATAACACTTCATCATAGCCACCCAACTTCTTTCCACCCCATTTCATTAATTTTAAAATGAGTAAAATTGTAACTTTGCATTATGCATATAATAAATTTTTAAAAAAAATAAAATAAAATCTTGTTTTTTAAAAAATAAAACCAAATAAGAACTTATTTAAAAAACGTTACTTAAAAAAATAAAATAAAAATTTATTTTAAGAAAGACGTTACTTAGAAAAATAAAATAACATAAAAACTTATTTAGAAAAAAAAAATATACATACATACATACATACATACATACATACATACATACATACATATATAT